CGCATAATTTTATTATAAATATTTTTCCAGTCCCCCTCAGAACTGCCTTCACTTCTTCCGGTTCTGTGCGAATGCAAATTAAATTTACATTTATTTTTCGTGACTCGATGCAAATTTACGCAATGCGAGACAGGTGGTAAGGGGGAGGGGAGGGATGGGGTAGTAAGGGTATTAAGGGGTGGCCCACTGATGGGCGGTGGGCGTGGTCCCGCCTGTCTCTGCCGCTGCACGCTCAGCACGTTTATTCGCACTTAATTCGCACTTTTTGACACCTTTGTGCGTTTTTCCCCCCGTTTCGGAATCCCCAACCGAAAAGTAAATACGAGTCCTGCTCCTGCTCCTGATCCTGCTCGCTTGTCAGCGGCATAATGTGCAATGTGTCCAGAGAGAAAGGCGCGAAAAATTATGCAAAATAAATTAATTACCAATTACGGGGGGTTTGGGCGGTACAGGCGGCACAGCTGTTGTCCGGGGATTTCAGCACACACACACACACACACTGCAAATGGGGGAATCCCCCTTTGGGGGTTGCAAATGTTTGTGCGTTTGTCACACGAGTTGAGCTCCCAGCCCAGCCACTAATTAGTGTCATTAAAAGCACTGCACCCTCCCACATGAGAGAGAGAGGGAGAGAGTACCCCTTAAGCGGGTACGTTGAAAAGTGCATAAAACATGACACAAAATTGCAGTGACCAAATAAATAAAACATAAACCATAAACCAACCGCAGAAATCAACTTAATTCCAAGAGGTTCTCATTCTCATACTCATTCCCCCTCATATCGTACTATATAGTAGTAGTGACTTCCGTTGACTTGCGTGCAAACGTGTAATTTTCAGCGGAGACTTCACTCTGACCTCCCCCCCGGATCGAATTGGGGTTAAAAAGGGTTTAAGTTGCGACAAACTTGGGTCACATGCATATGCATAATTACAGAGTGCCTCGTCCGGAACGGAATGGAATGGTAGGTAGTCCTCCCCCCTTCCCAGCTTAACAAACTAAACTGTGAAAATGCCAGAGGGTCCAATGGTATTATATATACCTATAGCTAACCGGAATACGATCCTGGGCACGTGAAATTTGAATATTGATTGGCTTTAATGAGCGTCGTTGGTCGCGCAATTAGTTTGCACAAAGGGGTTTGAGGAAGTTCACCTAACCCCCAACCCCAAACCGGAAGTTGAGGGTTGGAACTAACGGATTAGGAGCAAGACCATCAAGTCCGTGGGGGAGGGACTTTTAGACCTTTCCCCATGATCACTTCAAAGAGGGTTTGAGGAAATTCACCTAACCCCAACCCCAAACCGGAAGTTGAGGGTTGGAACTAAGGGATTAACTAACGTGGGGGAGGGACTTTTAGACCTTTCCCCATGATCACCCCCCAACCCCAACCCGGTTGAAACTAAGGGATTAACTAACGTGGGGGGAGGGACTTTTAGACCTTTCCCCATGATCACTTCAAAGAGAGAGTAGGGGGAACTCTAACTAAACTAATTGCATTCATTTTGCATGGAAGTCAATCAATCAATCTGGCTGAAAGATCACTTGCCTGGCGACGCCTATCTACCAAATTGGATGCAAATTGAAAAGCATTTTGTGGGAATGTAATGCATAAATTAATTGGCCAACACACCCACACACAGCAAGAAAAAGAGTGAAAACTATGAATCCGCAATGAGAGGCGGGAGATAAAGCATCGATGCAGCGCCAAAATTGTGCAATTGTAAATGAAAATCTAATATGAAAGCGTTTCCAAGCATCGCTTAGAATTCGATTTCATTTGTCTAAAACTAAATAACAATGCAGTCTGGTGCAGTCCGTGGAGTCCGTGGAGTCTGTGGTGCATCTGCATCGGCCAGAATTGAGTTCCATGTCCAATGGGATGGGCCCATTTCCCATTTCCACATCGTGTGCTTTTGGCCAGTTCATCCATCCCTGTTATTGTTTGAAACGTCGCGTTAAATTTACATAAATTGATTTGATTGAATTTTTATGAGTCGCCACAGTCAGAGAGCCAGAGTCCACCAAACCTCATCCTGCATTTGCATGAATCTGCTCTCCATTGGCCGCCGGCTGATGACTTTTCGGCCGGGCCAACTCCGGCAGCCGTCTAATTAAAGTCATTTCCAGCTGCTGCTGCTGCTGCTGCTGCTGATGCTTTTCCTACTGCTGAACCCTTTGCCTCTGTGCCAAATCCCATGCCCCCATCCCGTCCATTACCATTCACTCTTGGGGCCGTGGTCAAGTCGAGGTCACAGTTGGCGCTACATGGCGCTGGGCTTAATGCGAGCCATTTGGCCCAGACCAGCATTGGACACGGGACTGACCAGGGCAATCAGCGGAAAGAGAGACGGCCAAAAGCAGAACCAGACGCACACAACCAGCGTACATTGTTGCGGGGTGGGGTTATATGATTACACCTGGAGAAAAAAAGAGATCAATGAGGAAAGATTACTGATGAGATGGGATCCTTTTTACAGAAAAATTCTGAAGGATATTGGGAAAAGGACCTATAATAAAGCACTGAACCTTAAGTCAGCTAATTTCTCAACCGTCCCAATCTTGACCAGAATTTAAATATTGGACTCATATGGTCACATTAAAATATAGTGGCTAAAAAACAGAAAAGTTATACATTTAATTAAGCCTACGGAAGGATATTCTGTGAAACAGTGGTGCTTAAACCCCATTTTCTTCGCCGGAGCATGCTTCCACAGAATGTAAATAATATATAAATATGGTCACATTATATTTTTATGGCCAAATGTATAGACTTTGAAAATTAAATATTTATTGTCATTGGTACTTTTAAATCAATATTAAAATATAATATAAAAGTAACTATTATTGAGCTCATAGCTAGCCAGATTTATATACATCTTACATACAATTTTAATAAGTAAATGTATTAATAACTAATAAATAAAAATTAATATTGTAATAATAATGAACAATAAATATTTTACCAACTTCTAAAATACTTGATAAATAATGATATCAAAACCTAAAATTAAATTCAAAGCAACGCTTGCTTTCAGAAATTGTCTTAACTATTAAAATTATTTAAAAATAGTGCAAGTGACAATGTTCTGTCTAGTTTTTTTTTCGCAGTGTACAGCGGCTGCACCATGGCCGAGGCATTGCATATTTTTAGGGTTTCCCCTCTCCCCCCCCTCTCGGTCGTTGGCTGAAATTTGCACATTGCAACAAACTATTTAGCGACGACGAACGGTTAAGGCCTACGGCAGGCGGGGTAGCGCCAATTTGTCATAAATCTCGTTATTTTAAATCGCCGTTTGGCATTTCATGTGTGTGTGTGTGCTCTGGGAATGGAAATGGAAATGGGAATGGGAAAGGGGAAAAATGAAAATGGGAACGCCCGATTCTTTGTTTGCATTGATTTGTTGTTGGCTTCTCGCAGTCGTCGCCAGTTAACGTTATCAAAAGCGGCCCAGTCGAGGCATAAACTATTTTTTATTGGGAAGGGGAAAGAGAACTATTTAAGAGTATCATTTATTATTATTATTATTTTCCCCTAAATTAAGGCCTTGGCTGTGTTTTGAGAATAATCGGAGCCAATTTTAAGTTCTGATTTTATATTGTGTTTTCAGAGTATTAACTGTAACATAAATTGTACTTTTTAACTCTATATTTATATATTACATTTTTAAAGATAATTGGGAAAACGTTTATTAATCATAACCAATTATAATTTATTGGGTTACAAAGACTTGCTTTATACATATTATTAAAAATTAAAAATATAAATCTTTTCATTATAAATCAGTTTCATGGTTAAATTTACATTTGAATAAGAAAAGGTTTTTTTTAACATATTTATTTTTATAACGATAATTTTAATTTTAAATAATAGTATTATTTATGCTCCAAAAATATATATTATTTAAATTAATAGATCACTTATATAAATTTTTATTTTTTAATGTTTGAATTTACATTACAAGAGTAAGTAAACTTTCTTAAAATCATTTTTATTTTATTTTAATTATAATATAGTTTACCTATTATACTATTTTTGTCTCGATAAAATTATATAATATATTAAAGAAAAATAATACTTCATTTAATAGAGATTTTTTTTAAAACAAAATTATTTTTTCCTGGTAAATTTTTTTCAAATGAGTAAAAGACCTTCCTAAAATATACTATTAATATTAATTAAATAATGTAGTACAAATATATTTATTTTTGGAGGAATGTTTTTAAATATATTAAAATACATTTTATTGTAATATTCATATGTTTTTTTATTTATTTATAAATTTCTTGATTTTTATTTATTTATAAATTTCTTGATTTTTATTTATTTATAAATTTCTTGATTTTTATTTATTTATAAATTTCTTGATTTTTATTTATTTATAAATTTCTTGATTTTTATTTATTTATAAATGTCTTGATTTTTATTTATTTATTTATTATTGTTTTTAAAAGTGTTTTTAATGTTTCGTTGTATTATATTTACCTTAAATATTACACAAAAAAGGTGCTATTTAATTATTTTGTTCTTATATCTCAAAGATAATGAGTGTGAAGTCATAGCGATCGCTAAAAATAAACATTGTTGCAAGACGAAGTCGAATTCGCAGTACTGCAAATTCCAGATGGGCTTTTCGCCGCCGCCGACCTTGTACCGAATTGGCTCGTTGGTCTAGAGGTATGATTCTCGCTTCGGGTGCGAGAGGTCCCGGGTTCAATTCCCGGACGAGCCCAAGTTTCTTTCGGTTTTTTTTTCATTTAATTCTTTCTTTTGTTCGTATTGTTTTTATAAATTCCAAGCCGGGTGAAAGGCTATTTCCCAAGTATTTAATATATATATTTAAATATAAACCCATGATGAGACTTTCCAAAATCAGCCCCAAAGTATGCCACAAAATAGCGATCGTTGGTTCGGTGGCGCCACCGGCGTCAGCTTTTGCAACACTCGCCGCTTGGCCACAGCTGTTTAATGCCGTTACACGGTTAAAGTGTGGCACCATTCACCAACACTGTTTCCATTAAGAAGCCTTCGCTTCGAGAATTTTAATTTAACGCGAGAAAAACCCGTGAAAAGTCCAGGGAAAAGCCTAGAAAAGCAACATGGACTTCCTCTACAACGCCAGCGTGCAACGCGAAGACAATGAACGTATCAATTTCTACAACATGGACAAGTTTTTCGTTCCCTATGAGGGCACATCACCTCTGCCGCCGAAGTGTGCTCCGCTGACGGTGTCCGTGTGGTCGCCGCTGTTCATGCTGTCGCCACCAATGCGGCAGCAGCAGCAGCAGCAGCCTTCGATACAACAACAAATGTCCAATTATTGGCTAGATATTGATGATGCCAGTTTCAGATATGTATATATAACTCTTTATCAAAACACAATTTAATATTCTCAAGAAACAATGCATTGCAGCCTCTCCAGAAGAAAGTTGTTTACATTCTATTCATGAGCTGTTGAGTTAGGTCTTCGGCCATAATTACCAGAAATAATGCTTTTACTACCTTAAGAAAGCTTAAAAACATGTAATAGTAAAGTAAACTCTTTAAAATGAGGCTAAAATATTCTAAAATCCAAGTAAAACATGTTAATGATCATATTAAGTGGTTAGAAAAGATGTAAATTGAATACTGTATGGTTACTTTATCGAAATTTAAGGCAAAAGTCAATGCAATATATGAATTTATATATTAACATAGTAATATATATGATGTAAATCAATATTCTGTATGTGATACCCGACAAAAACAATAGAAGAATAATTAAAGTGACATTTATCACATATTTTTTGTGATAAAACGATATTATATAGTTAAAAGTGATATATTTCGGTATTTACCAATTATATATAAAAGTTTTCGTTGTCACTTTGAGTGTAATCTTCTTGCTAAATTATTATATTGAATTTTTCTATTTATAAACATTTCTAATAGTGTTATACTTTGGTCATAGGCAGGTTTATATATACAATTCAAACCCTATATATTATGTATTATAGAATATTATATATAAACATATTATACATTAAAGAATGTTTTACTAATACCAATCTTTGCTCTATTTTTTCTAGATGATGACTATGGACATAACCAAAACCGAACCCGGACTCGTCGGGCTTTCCTCTAACCAACAGCAGCAGCAATCCCAGCAGCAGCAGCAGCAGAACGCCGGTATGAACAGCCAGAACAACGGACCCAATCCCAATAGCAATGGGAACAACAATAACAACGGCCATGGCGGCGTTGTTAACGTGGTCAACTCTGGCGGAGGCGGCGGTGGCGGTGGCGGCGGCAATGGCAATGGCAATGTCCAGAGCATAGCCGCTGCTGCCAACAACAATAATAATAATAACAACAATGGCAGCCAACTTTGCGCCGGCTGCGGCAAGCACATCCAGGATCGGTATCTCCTCCGAGCCCTGGACATGCTGTGGCACGAGGATTGCCTCAAGTGTGGCTGCTGTGACTGTCGCCTGGGCGAGGTGGGATCCACGCTGTACACCAAGGGTAACCTGATGCTCTGCAAGAGGGATTACTTGAGGTGGGTAATCATTTCTAAAGATTTGAAAGTCCTTCTTGTAATAGAAATCTCTCTTCTTGCAGATTATTTGGAAATACAGGCTACTGTGCTGCCTGCAGCAAGGTGATCCCTGCCTTTGAGATGGTAATGCGTGCCCGCACCAATGTCTATCATCTGGAATGTTTCGCCTGTCAGCAATGTAACCACAGGTGAGAATTAATCGAATCGAAGCGATCTTTTGGTAAATTTCCCATGCATTTTTATGGGCAATTTGCACACACAGAGATTCGACCATAAATTCGTGCCCCTTTCCCTTTCCCCTTTTAATCTTCGACCCAAAGTGGCACTTGAAGTTTTTATTAACGTGCCGGCAAGCGGCAAATTGCCATCGTTTACAAGCTAACATCAAACAAAGGGAGCCATGGGGGAAGCAACCCCCTTTAGTGTCATACATTTTCTATGAAAACCGCATAAATTTCACATTTCGAATCGAACCCTTTTGGGTGCCGTCAAGTCATCGCAATCCCATATTCCCGTCTTTCCTCCGTCTCCTCGAATATTTTATGAAACTTGGCCAATTCGTGAAATGTCACTCTGGAGAGCTTTAAACTGCAACGGACTCCGGCTCCTTCTTCCCCTTTTGGTCAGCTTGGTTTCGTTTCGTTTTCGTTTCGGGGTTCTTTTGCATTAATAATGAGGGCGCACATATGCCTCCTGTCTCAGTCCTTGTTCTCGTCCTCGTCCTGGTCGATTGTGCAACATTGGGAGCGGCCAACATTAAATATTTAAAATGCCGCCACACGGCATCGTTGGCCGAAAAAAATATTGAAATAAATGTTAAAACATATTGGCATATTGTGAGAATCGTCGCCAACCCCCCGTTTGGCTTCGCTTGGCCTTTGTTTGTGCATTGTTGAAAAAATTGTTTTTAAAAAAATGCACGGTGAGCTTCTCCCAACCAAAGACTTCTTATAATAACCAGATGCATAGCGCCCATATATTTGAATTTTTTAATATATAAAAGCAGTTTGTTTGAAAGTTATAAATTTGAGCTTATTTCTAGCAAAACATAGAATGATTTATATCTATGTTTTATTGTAAAAAGATTAAGTAAGTGCGTGTGTGAAGGCACAGATTTAGAATGATTTAATTCTTAATCCTTGATCTGGGCACTCTTTCTTTCTCTCTGGCTTTTAAGCTAAATTTCAAAAGATCAAAAAATTGCGTGTGTAGCCTTACAGATCTAGAATGCTTGACTGAAAGAAAGTTGGTTTGTTCTATAGCTATTTCTCTATTACTCTCTCTGAATTTGAATAAAGAAAGCTAGAAAAAGTGGCGTTACTCATCTTTTTACTATGACTTCTTTTGAGACAACTCTGCCTTGCTATTTACCCAAGACTTTCTTTATAGACAATTTCCTTTCAGACTCTCCCACTGGATATGTTTTCTGTCCAAGTAATTTGGTTGAAAATCAATGAAATTTCCCAACGTTTTCCCCCACAGTTATGCGTACTCACTCTTCCTTCTTCCGTACTGTTTTTGCTAATCAATTTTTCACGAAAATTAATTCAATTGCCGAAAAAATCCATTGAGGCGTGGCCGTATGGCCAGCGGCCAGGCGCAACTCCTGCCACAGCTTCTGCTTTTTGGCCACATTTAAAATGCGGGCTTTCATTTTGGCAAACAAAAAAAGAGTTTTTCCTGCGGATTCCTGTTTGGGGGGGAAATGTATTGCAAAATGCATTGCAATCGAAAGGACGGACTGTGTGAGGTTTGCATAATTTCCTGTCGTCAGCAATGGACGACGACTTCTGGCCAAGCCAAGCCAAGTCGAATCTTTTGGGTCCAGGCTCCAGCTTCAATTTTTTCCGCAATATTTCCTGCTCTTATTTTTTGTTGTTGTTGTTTTTGATTTTTTCCCCTGTATTTTTAAACTTATTTTCCCTGATTTTTGTCGCTGTTTTCCTTTTTTTTTTTTTTTTGGTTGTACTTCCTGTTGACAATTTGTTGTTGGCTTCTTTGAGCGGGGGGAGGAGGCTGGCCTGATGCCCGGATGTGCGAGGCACTCACTTATCAACATGTCCGTGTGCGTCGTGTCCATGTCCATTTCCATCTCCATTGCTCCAACGACCAGTGCCATGTCACAGGTGCTCTCTGAATGCAAAAAATCAACCGTCAGCGTTGAAATGGGAAGAAAAAGTTTCAACTTTGTTGACTCTTTTTCGTGGACTTTTGCTGCTTTGTTTTGGTTGATAAACAAAGCCATGTTTTTTCCCCCACGCCCCCGACGAGCCACGTCAATCGATTTGGCCAAACGCAACTGAAACCAGCAGCAGCAGCAGCAGGCCAAAAAAATAATAAAGTGAAGCGAAATGTTGACGTAAATCAAAAGCCAAATTTCATATCCGCTGTAAGTCTGCTGTAAGCTGATTTACCCAAACCATAAGCATGTCCTTGTTCCCCACAAAAAGGATGCAACTCTTTGCTGCCGCAGGTACTTGTCAAAATTTTAAATGTTTCTTTTTTCATGTCAAGGAGCAGCCTGAGGAAGAAGGAGGAGTATCGGGAATACACTCAAGCTAACACTTGGCAAAGCCTAGCTTGGCTCTCACATGGACTTATCCCGGCTGAGCCATCTCTCCAGGACACATACTCCATTTGTATGCACAAGAGAAGCTCCTCTGCTTGATGTGTGTGTTTGCTGGAGTAGGAATAGGTGTAGGAATGGGACTTGGAGTTGAAGCTACAACTCCGCACACAGGTGCCAACATAAATATTTTGACAAGGGACTCGCATGGCAACTTTATTTGCTAAGACCTGGGACAAACTGTTGCTGACAGCAGAGCGACATCTTGCCAGGCTTATCAGACTTTCTGGTCCTGGTTCTAGTACTGGTGCTGGTCCTGGTTCTAGTCCTGTTCCTGGTTCTATCAATGGTCCTGATGCTGTTCCTGGTCCTCTTCCGTTACGTCTCCGTTTGTACCTCCTTTTGTTTCAATTTCATCTACAGTAACCGCTGTCAATTGTCATCATTGTTGTCCCCTGCCTAAATGTGTGGAAAAATCGTTTCCACTTCCTCCTTGACAGACAGAGGGAGTCACCACCCATACTAACCACACTCTCTCTGGTCTTCCTTACAGATTCTGTGTGGGTGACCGCTTCTACCTGTGCGAGAACAAGATACTCTGCGAGTATGACTACGAGGAGCGGCTGGTCTTCGCCTCGATGGCCAATCATCCGATGCTCAAGCGCCATGTCTCCTCGCTGGGCCAGGGTTCGCCCACGGGTGCGGCTGGTGGACAAAATGCTGCCGGCGGTCTTTTGGGCGGTGGTCCTGGCACCAATGTCAATGGCGTGGGCGTTGGCGTCAATGTGGGCATGGTCAATGGTCCACGCACGCCCGGTGATCACAATAATAACAATGGTCCGCAGACACCAACTGGCGGCGGTTCACCATTTGCCGCTGCAGCCGCCGCAGCTGCCGCCGCTGCTCACATGAAGAATCAACTGGGTGCGTCCAGCTAAAATAAAGCCCTGGGCATGGGCGCTGCTGGTACTGGGACAGGATCTGGAGTGGGCTTGGGTGTGGGAGCCCTGGGAGTTGGTGCGGCAACGCAGCAGTTCTACAGTGGCTTTGGACTGCAGCACCAGCATCAACAGCAGCAGCAGCAGCAGCAGCAGCAACAGCAGCAACAGCAGCAGCAGCAGCTCATGGGCATGGGCCTAGGTTTAGGCGGAGGAGCAGGATCCTCTGGAGTAGGAGGAGGAGGAGGAGCAGCAGCAGGAGGAGGAGGCGTTGGCAGCATCGGCAGCGGCTGCAAGCGCTACCAAAGAAAGTTCTACAATCGCAACTGAGCGAGTGGCCCGGGGAGACCGAGGAAAGGATGCAGAGTTGCTGAAATGCATCTGTGCATCTGATGCTGAATCGATATTCAAATCTTCGTTTGCTTTGACTGAGTTCAAGTTTTATAGTTTTAAATGCAATTATTTTTAAGTTAGCTTTTAAGCAGATCGCTTGCTGAAGTTGCAGACATTTTTAGGTCCTAAACAGAACAGTTTTCGACTATGTTTATCTATTTTACTTTCTGTTTTTTTTTTTATGAGACCTGTAAATAATTTTCCCTGTGAACTGTTGACTTTTTTAGTGCGAGCCTCATTTTTCTCAGAAGTTTTTTTTTTTCATTTTATAGATATACTTGTATTTATCTATGTATATGCGTATGAATAATTTTATTTTCACGCTCGAAGCGTGCGGTGCCAAAACAAATTCAAAGCAGTGCCAAAAAGTTAAAAAATAAACGAACGAATGAAGGAATATATAGTGAAGCGAGCGATAGTGAGAGAGATAATGGGTGAAGAGTGCGAGTCCGGGGAAGGAGAGTGAAGTAAAGGATTCGATTCCATTGAAATCGAGAGAATAAAGCCAAGGACCTTATAGCAACAAGATGCGTAACGCCCAAACATAAGCAATTAACTCTGAAAATGGAATGATTGATGCAAAAGCAAGTGCGTATGTGTTCGTTTGGCGTTACCCATCTCGTTCTTTTAAGGTCCTTTGAAATAGCGCATCCCCACCGAACAATTTTTCATCTCCATTAATGCAATAAAAATCTAAAGAATGCAGGCGAGGTCTTTGAGTGATCGCGGCTAATTGGCAAAAGTGAACTTTGATATGTAAATATTGAAAAACATTCTGCACACGACTTAAGCACACATGATTTTTGTTCTGATTCCATTTTAAGTCTGTTGGAGCAACATTGTTGATTATTATTTAAGTTTAGTTTAGTGCCGAGGCTACAGGAGAAGGGGTTAGCAGAATGAATGAGTTCTTTCCAAGGCGAACGATGTATAGCTCTAGAGGAGGAGATCTTTTTGGGTTGGGAGGCGAGATGGCCAGTCTCCTGCCAGTGGTAAATGTAAAGAATCTAAATTTAAGTATATTTGTGTGCGTGTATGTATAACTATATATATATATAAATATTATCAAGCAAACTAGTTACAATATGGGTGTATTTATTAATCCTTTTTTTTATTAATTGTAACACTAATCACAAATATATGCGTAATTAGCGTTCGATCGGGGCTAGCGAATAAACCAAGTGCGGATCGGGAGAAACCAAAGTGTGTGTATAAGCGAGAGATAAACAAATACTACCTATCTATCGATTACCGAACAACTATGTTAAATATATATAAATACATGTATCGTAATAATCGAAATAATCAGATCTAAGTAAGAGCGATAATCCCATACTCTTCGTTCTCTCTCATTTTTTTTTTGTACCGCATAAAGTTAAATTATAACAAAGAAAACAAAAAATCAAAAATATCTAAAATGTAAGATAAACAAAAAATCCCCCGCTTAGACTTATACATATATACGTGCATATATAATTAATGACAAAACACACACTCTTGCATACTCGTGCCAAGGACAGTGTAGAGCCTAGGCGGCGTTACGCATCTTAAGCTCTGCGCTGTCCTTGCTCAGACTCAATGTGTGTGTGTGTTTTTTTGGGACAGCAAGCAGCAAAAGCAAAATGAAAGAAATCAAAACTAAAGAGAAACGTGAGAAGGTAAAAGAAAACAAAACAAAAAACAAAAAGAAAATGAAACAATAAATGTAATTAACATTTGAAAAAATTAAACGACAGCAGTTGTGCTTATTTTTTTGGGGGAAATTCGGGGTTTTCCAGGAGAATGCTTTCCCCTCCCCCCACACCGATTGTGTCGCCTGACATTTGTTGACTCTTTCGCTTTGACGGCCATTAATCACGGCATTGTTGTTACCAAATTTCCAAATCCACAGACCAGACAGGACCCCGGAGTCAGGAGGAGGGAGGCCTGATAAATGATGGTTCATATTTTTGAGAGCTGATAGCTGAGAGCAGAGAGCTCCGCAATTGAAATAATAAAACGCTGCGACCTCTTCCCCCTCGTAGTCCTTATCCTGTGGAAGCATTGATTAATGAAACTTTAAAAGGGAACACGCGTCTTTTGTCTGCAACGACCGCAAAAACTTTGCCATGGAGATAGCGGATCTTTTCAATCCAAAGATATATATATATATATATTTGCGCCGCAAAACTTTGCCTGCGTCTTTTAAGGATGTCAATGGGATTGGTCTCGGTTATAAGGATATCCAAGGAGCCGCCGCCGCAGGCCATAATAATAAAAGTCATTTATAGATTTCGATTTTGTGCACATGTGGAAAAGGAAGAGGGAGTCCTCAGTCCCTGCCCCTGCCCCTGCCCCTGCCCCTGGGGGGCAAGACTCCACTATAACTTAGACGTTGCATAGTTTTTAGCCTGGGCTGCTTATCAGCACTTTTGTGCAAAAAGGACACACAAGGGTGGGTGGTGTGAGTGAGGGGTGGTTGCGCCTCCCTGTCTGAAGGTCCTTTGTCTTTGCCCAAGACTGGTGTCATAATCACAGTATCTTGGTATCGAAATCAGTGCTTATGAAAATGTCTTTTGTCTTGTCGCAAAATGCCCATCAGCCATGGGCCTATTCCATTTTCGTTGTCGTCACCATAAAAATCCATAAAAATAAATAAAATAAATGTTTCAATTCAGCACGGTCCTGGCTTTGGGTGTGAGTAGATGGAGTGGTCCTGTCAATCATCCCGAGCTTGAGGAATGCCTTGGAAAGAAGAAAAAAATATTATGATAAGGCATGAGAAATCGCTGGCATTGCAAATAGCTTTGCCTCAGTTTCAGTTTCAGTTTCAGTTTCATTTTCAGCTGGAAGGCAATTAAATTCGGTTGGCGGCAAAGGACACTTGAGAGGAGTTGCTGGCAACCCCTTAATTAAACGGGTTTTGCGACAAAAACTCTTTTCATGTTTTAATTACGCAAATACTCGGCATAATTCACCAGATGCTATGACAACGTTTGGCAAACAACGTGAGCTCACAAAAATATGCATAAGAAACAATTTGTCTAAGCTGCGGCGGTGCCCCAAATCCAAAATCCAAAATCCTGATCCCCTCCTGCAGCTGCTCCTCCTGCTCCTCCTGCCATTGTAATGCGACAAGCAAGCCAAGTTTGTGTCAACTTCAAAGTGGAAATTCCAGAATTCACCTTGCTTGAATATTCCAGTTCCTGCTCCTGCTCCTGCTCCTGATCCAGTTTCCACCTCCTTCCATCTGGCATAACTTCAGGACCTCGGATTGCTTTGTGCAAATTAGTTCAGTGGCATGACCGATTCACTTTGGAATCTTGTGTAAATATTATTATTTGGCTCTCAGAGCTAAACTTACTCTAGTTTTAAATGCAGTTTAATGGGAAAAGTACTCAGCCAGAGGAAAACGAAGCTAATTAAATCATTTTTGGTTAAAATATTTATAAATTCTCACCAAATTGATTGTCAGTAAGTCTTGGAGTAAAAGGTGCAAATGTCATTTTAATTAAGCCTTGTCAGAAGTGTTTTGTTGTTTGGTTACATTACAAAGTTACTGGCAGGATATGGTTAATAAAGTTTATTCATTCAAAAAGCCTCAATTAATTTATATTTTAAATACCAATTTATATGCTTTAACAAGGTTGAAAATGTTTCCCTCTTCTCCGTGGAGTTCTTATGGATGGAATCATAGTTAAAACCTCTTTTAAGATTTATAAAATACAACTATATCAATAATTCATACATATATTTAGTACAAATTATATTTTTCTCTCTTAAATCTTGATATACAACTATATCAATAATTAATTTATATATTTAGTATAATATGTATTTTTTTATTTTTTTATTATATTCTTGATCAGGATCAACAGCCGAGTCGATCTAGCCATGTCCGTCTGTCCGTCTGTCCGTCTGTCCGTCTGTCCTTCTGTCCGTCTGTCCGTCTGTCCGTCTGTCCGTCTGTCCGTTTCTACGCAAACTAGTCTCTCAGTTTTGAAGCTATCTAAATGAAACTTTGTAGTTAGCCTTCTATATACTCTCACTCGTATATATGTCGGAACGGGCCGGATCGGACGACTATATCATATAGCTGTCATAGGAATGATCGGAAAAGTTTTACAAAAAAAATTATAAAATTTTTAGTTTTCAACAGAATTTGATCAAATTTGAGATATAGCCATTTCATATTATTCTACAATTTTGTGTAAAATTTTATGAAAATCAGACGGCTATATCATATAGCTCCCATAGGAACGATCGAGAAATTAATTCAATTAATAAGTATAACATTTTCAGTTTTCAACAGATTTTCATTAAATTTGAGATATAGCCGTTTCATATTATTCTACAATTTTGTGTAAAATTTTATGAAAATCGGACTAATATATCATATAGCTCCCATAGGAACGATCGAGAAATTTGAGAGGAATGAGAATGGCGGTGGCTGTTGTCGGAAGACTGACAATTGCGGTGGCGATAACATTTTTAGTTTTCAACAGAATTTAATCAAATTTGAAATATAGCCATTTCATATTATTCTAAAATTTGGTGTAAAATTTTATGAAAATCGGATTACTATATCATATAGCTCCCATAGGAACGATCGAGAAATTAATACAATTAAATTTATAACTTTTTTAGT